AAGTCTCCCAAAACAAAGAAAACGACATCCACACCGAAAAGCATCAACTTGTTGACCACAGGACAGAGCTAGACTGGCTGTAAGAGTCTTTACATTCAAAGCTAGACAGACAAGAGAGCCCAAGGCAAAGGTCCCATCAACGACAAGTCCATCAAGTGACCTTACGTCCACCGACACATCCACATTCTCCTCCCTGGCCCTCCCTGGAGGGCAAGCCAGTAAGGCCAGCAGGTCCCAAAGGCCCTTCCTACCACTGCTTACACCGATCAGCCAGGGGATTTGCCATGCTCTATTTCTTCAAAGCTCTCACACCAGCCACTAGGCAGTGGCTGCTAGCTATTTTTGTTTCATTTTCTAATCTGGTATGACCTGAAAGGGTTTTGTGAAGCTAAAGTGAAAGAACATGATGTACATTAATTGTCTGTAAGCCCGCCTGTAGGTTATTACTATATCCAGTTGACCAGACACCATGCTCATGTGAATATTTGGACAACTTTAGAAAACGTACTTAGGAAATTTCTCCTTGACACCAATTTCATAACGACCACAAATAATACTGGTATAAGTAAAATAACAAAGTAATATGATATTGTACTTCACTTGTTCCGAATTAAATAGCATTGCTTACATTTCAAATTAAACTATTATTTGTAATTCTGGTGATGTTAATCACGTTGCAATTGTGCCACGTTTATGAAGAAATCAAGATTCTTTAAAAGAGAAGTAACTATCAAATCAACAAGATTTAAACAAATAAATTACAACCCCACGTATAATAATGAAAGTTTATTCCATGCACAATAACACCTGAGTGCTTTGACAATAGAACAGTCCGGGTAGAAGTGTTCACTATTACAGAGAAAATACGAGGCACTTGCCATATTTTAATCATTACAATGCCAAAAGAATCCTTTAGCAGAGATATTTCTTATCAAGAATTGTTTGCCCATATTATTTTGGCCAGAGCTGGTGAAAAGGAATCATTTTCCTGTTATTACAAAACACATAAAGATCAGCACTATCATAATATACCAGGCTAAAAACAGTAAATATTTCTGGGTTTTCAGTGTTACATTGTTTTGGATGATAATGAAGAAGTTATTTACACATAAATACCAGCTGGGCTATAGAATTACAAAACACACCACAGAACGATTAAACATTAGCATCGCTCTTTCATTCTCGACAGATTTCCTTCCTTCACGTTATATACCACCCTGCTTTCAATAGGGATATTTATATTGGTATCATTCTTAATTCTAGTAATATGTCAAGTGTTTATTAAATATATGACACATCTGATTATGCCTATATATAGTAAAATAATATATCCTAACCATTAAGTATTTGTAAAAATGAGAATTTTTCTGGGCCACAAACCACAAACTGATAATTTCTCTGAATCACATGGTTTAGTCAGAATCATAAGAGTTATATCAAAACATTAACCATACTGGGATTTGAAAGTTTTCCAGTGTTCCCCTTAGTCCAGAACATGAATAAATGTTGCCATAGCAACAAAAATCTTGATACCTCATGTGTGCATAATCACTACTACTGATAGGATTTAATGTACTGATTCTGTTTTTGTTGAGTATACAAGTGATCACTGTATTCATCAAAATGGTGACAGCATAATCATTGTGATCGGCAATGAAAAGGCATAAAAAATATACTACCATTTCTACATCCATAATATTTGCGTTTTACCATTTCTACAGTTCATTATAGAAACAATACAATTATGATATCTGAAATATGTGTAATTTACCACGTAATAATTAACCATATTAAATTTTTATCACATTCCAACAGGTTTGCAGTTTCTCAAATCTCCATTTCAACCAGTGACCATTAGAAACATGTTGAGTTATTGTCTGTTTTGTTATACGCTTTACCAAGCTCACCAACTCACTTCGTTTTAAATGTCCTAAGTAACGACAAAACAAGATAAGTAGGACAACTTAATGGCCGTGAAACAAGCTTACGTATTGATCTGTCAAGAGCAGAGTTTCGAAAAGCACTTAAAATATATCCCCTCTGTCATTTGTCATTAAGGTCACTTGTAGCATTTGTCCATCATAATTGCAATTAGCAGTCAACTGTGTCAAACAGCATCCATCTAAGTGTGTACCCTAAGGATCTGGCATGTCTACTTTCTGCCAAAATATTCGTATTCTTTGTGTTCACTGCAATTTATCTCTTTTCATATAAAACATTTGAACAAGTGCCTTTTCTTAGTCATTGTTTGAAATGTCTTTTAAACAGTTTTGATCTGAGATAACCATCAACTTTGTCTTCTTGTTTAAAAATGTTACAAACTATTTTTAAATACACAAATATACAAATTCCCTGTTGTTTTCAGTGTCTCTTTTTTAAACTGTTTAAAGAATGATACCAACCTTTCTGTCCTCTTATTTAAAAGAAATTACAAAATAGTTTTTTAAATAGTTCAATATAATAATTTGACACTTGCAGTATCCCAAGCATTTATGTACATAGCGTCTTTTGACAGATATCATTAATCCAACATATTGTAATATAGATAACATGTTTAGCAATAACGATGTCACTAAGCCAGGTTCATCATCTACCGCATAGTGCATATGTAACAGTCTCAAGCAGATTACTAAGCTAAGTTGACATTAAGCCTGTAATCTTCGCCAATCCAACTAATGCAATCACCAATATAATGACATTATTCTAGCAAAGAAAACATCATGCAAGCACCTCATGTGCTTTCCTATCAAACAGGAAAAAAATGATAATATACAGTACCTTTGTAATCAGTGCTTAGGGTATTTTATAACGAAAGAAAATTACTGTTTCGACACGTAAACTTTTATACTTGAATGGCCATTAGTCTTGTAATGCACTTGCTATTTGACTTTCCGATGTATAATAAGTTGTATTTCCTATCTGCCACTTCGTCTACAGTGTATCCTGTCCAGTTAGACATACATATGTTTACAAGAGAAACATAAATTCTTAAAGAAGTGAAAACCAAACGATGGAGGCTTGGCAATTCTTATAACTGTTTCCTGTAGTAAACCATATATATGCGTCTCGCTTCAACTTGGCATCGAGTTAACACTCAAAAGTTGAAAGATTTTCATAGACAGAAATTTGATCTCTTTGATGTCATTGATTCATTTAAATCTTCAAATTATCCTGAAAATCTTATTTTACATTTGTTGAAGTATTTTGTTTATGATGTAATGTGATTTCACTTCCTTTCTGAGACAGTAGTTTCTATAGACTAAATGTGATAAGTACTCGGTCACACGATGATCAAAATTAATACCGATGGAAAAACATCTTCACCACTGATAAATTATCACGTAAAAACAAAATTTGTAAACAGTTACAGTACACTGGCATCTTGATGGTTGAGAATGAACTGGATAGCTAATTTGTTAATATTTCCTGTTGACTAGGTTACTTTGATGTTGAGTATGATACACGTTTGAATGTCCTATCGCAAACCCAGCTCCGCTATCATTAAATGAAAGAAAAAAAACACATTTTATATATCAAAGCTAACTCTTTCAGCCTGATATCTATCAAAAGATTTCGAAACATAAGGTCAGTTATGTTCACTATTTTCTCCAGTTGTAATGAAAGTGTACCGCTGAAAACTAGATGAGGAACGTTTATGCCATATATGGCCTGAACTGCTAAAAATATTCATCATCATAAATTCTATTTAAAAATCCCAAACCTTCACAAGTGAGGCATTTGCAGAAGAATAAACAAGAAATTGATTTGTACACAATCATGCAAAACACTCTCCTTGATATGTTAATCTTTCTTCTTTGTATTTAAAAAAGGGGATAATATGATATTATCATCTTATATTGTTATCACCTGATGCTGTTTTTAATAACACAAAAGTGAACGTTGATAACAGATACCAGTTCAGTCACCATTTATTCATGCCAAACACTTCTCTTGTTTTCAATTCACAAAATATTTAGGAAATCAAGGCTTTAGGTTCTTGAATGTTAAATCAAGACGATGAAACATTATTTATTACCTTTGATTTAAAATAATTACTACACAACAAATTTTAAAACTACATCAACGATATTTGGAGGTATATATTTTGAAAAATGAAATGTAACACAAAACACCTTCTTGTTAAGTTTATCATAATTCATTACATTCCCGAGAAGGAGATAGAATCATGTCATGCTCTTTTAGCTTCATGTGATTACTCCCTTGCATTTGTCCCCAGTCACAAGAAGAAAAGAATATGAAAGCAAATGTTGACCAACCAATTAAGCAAATAATGAAAATGTGTGATTATATAATTATCTTTGCTGAAACCATTCAAATATGCCATACAGAAGCCTAGCACAAGCAGTGGTATCCCAGAGTTGCATTTACCCCTGGTTGTTGTTTTCAATGCATACTATGTTGCAAAATGTATATCGCCTATATCTCACTGAAACCCTGTGCTTTAACAGAAAATCAGAATCAAGATATTCCCTCAACACACAGAGGGCAATCCCTCCAACCCACGCAAGCCTAGCCTCGCAACATCAAAGGGTTCTGCTCGCTGTATTTACTGACCCAGAACATTGTCAAAATAGGGGCCGATCGCTTCAAAACAATCCGGAAATGCTTCATATATCATCTCATTTTTGACAAAATAACCTTTAAAATATGATGTGCAAACGTTATGGGTATATTGGAGCTTGTTTGCTACACTCTGCCCGTCGCAATGCCGGTATGTGCATGGCCATTGTCATGCATATTCCGAACAATGGACGGCAGACAATAGGTGCATACTTTTACACATCAAAGGGAAGCCGCTGTGAACTGTATTTGCAGCAAATCGGGGCATATATACGCCATATTATCAACCTCAAATATACAGAAAAGCCTGTGACCTCTGGCTCGTTTCCTGATACAATCATAGTATCCATGTCGGTAATTGTAGTGGTAACTTTTGGCCTTTTCATGGCTGTTAGCAGAGCTGCCTGATTAGCACCTACCATCCTCTGGTCGTGTTGTCCCACTCTTCTCACTGCCAGAGTAATTCCCCGGTAAACTGCCATTTTTCCCCTAAAACAAAGGAATATGAGAGATATGAGGGGAAATATTAGGCAGATAAGCTATGGGAAGGCGCGATCTCGTAATAGCTCCGTCCTAGCTGACCCCAACAACATCAAAGGGAGATGAAAGACTAGCACTCACCTCTTCGGATTCGGTGACTAAACCCAACTTTTCCTCCGAGAGGTTTTCCGATGACCTTTTTTCCTCTTCACCCTCATCTTTATATACTTTGACCTCATCTTTCGAGTAAAAATCCTCTGAGCCGCCTGAACTCATATGCGGCATGGTCAAAAGTTCTCCACTGCGATCTAATTTTCGCACAGGATATTAACGACTCTCAACACACGTTTTGAATCCGCCATGAATACTACGTAAAGGCTAGCAAATAGAGACCAATCAACGCCGCGCTCTCTGTACCGGCGACCAATGAAAAGCGCCGTTACGGCTGGGGTTAGTCATTCGTCATGTAGCAGTATAGCAACTAAACTGTGCTGTGTTATTCTCGTCTGAACGTAAAGTTTGCCTCCTCTTATTGCAAGATAAAAGTGAACTGGATCAATCAAAGACCAGGGATGCTCTGGGCTGTCTGCAGTCACATGCACGGCTGGTTGTGAGCGTCTCGTCTCTCGGTCAAGCACCATTCCTATGTGTTATCCATGCTCGTTTCTTCAGCGTTTTTTTCTGTATATCCAATGCTAATGGCCACATTTGCACATATAAACATCAACAAGCGCCTATCAATAAGTTCTGAGAGCAGATTAAATTATGCCTGCTACACCGACATGCATTCGCTCTCTTTGCCAAGAACAAAGCTCGGGTCTGGCCCCTGCGCTGTCGCCCCTAACATTCTTGTTATGCGCTAGAATTAGATGTTTTCAGCGAGCTCCCTTTGATCTAGCCGCGTATCTACAATCTCAGCCATCTCTCGTGAGTTGCTCGCTCCGAAAGGTCAAGAGGCGTTCCGCTTGGAATTTCTCTTTCTTGATCGTGCTTAAACTTCTACGTCCACGCAAAATCATTTCATTAAAGTTTGAAAACGATATTCAAATAATATTAATTTATTTGTGCTCCGTGAATGAGGCCAACGCAGAGAAATTTAGTTGAGACCGAGCACTCGGCGGCTCCCTTTGAAGTGTCGGAACGCCTTTGTGATACCTTATATGGTAGTGGCGCCCGAGCAATGAGACAAGATTTGTTTACACTCCATTTCCTTTGTAGCTACCGCCACCTAGCGGATGTGCTCTGCGAAAATGCTTATCTGAAATTCATCACTCGAAATCGTTCCTTAACGAATTTTTAACATGTTTAATATAACTGCGTTTTCGTGAATGACGAATTCAATTTGCAACGCGTGCGCCATATGCAGTTCTAACACTGGTGTAGATCGTTGCCACTTTTTACAGCCTAACATCTCTCGAAACACTGGATTTTCGCTTTCTTAAATTTAATTAATACGGATGTCAAGAAGTCGTGTTGAAATCGTGAGACATTACTTGTCAAGTGAGACGGGGCGGGTCGGTTCACGAGGAATTGGAGAAATGGACATAAGTAATATCAAGCGTATTCGGGGTCTGTGGTCGAGCGCCTCAATCCCAGGCCTGATGGACTATGAGAACCCTCCGAGAAGATATAAGCCGTTGATGTATGTATAGCACTTACTTATTCCGTCACCTTAAATGACATTCGTCGACATGTCAAGTCGAGGCTATTAACAATAATTCTTTCACATTTCCATGCATGGATAAGCTATACACCTAATGTCATTCGAGGTATTTGCTATTTTTTTATGATGATCGGAAAAGCGGTCGAAAATATTGATGGCAATTTCTTCGGCCACGGAGGGAATTATGTCGCCGTACAAGTATCCCAATTACAGAAATAGACAGTTGTTGATTTTCACGCATATCATGTAGCGAATATCGTCTAGAACAAAACTGAGATCAATTTGAGTTTATTCTGTGAAAATAAAAGCATATAAAGTCACGTACTTTGTCGAGTTCCAATCTGGCTTTTTTGTTATTATTTATATAAGATAGGTATCGGAAGAATTACTTTATAATTACAAATGAATATATGTATCCGTGTTATTATATTTCGGAAATGTTATACCTTATCAACGCACTTATACGTCGAATCATGTAAGGTCTTCGTAATTTGATAGACGAATTAAAACATGACACTGGTTGGTAAACAGGTACTGTTTGAATAATACTGTCTTTTTGCCCACAGAAACACAATTGTATCCAGAAAGACGGGACTGCGTAATTCAAATACAGTAGTCTCAGCGTATTTGGACATAACCGAACAGCGTGCTTCAATTTTCAATAATCTTTTATACAACGTGCAACGCATTTGTAGCTGTCGTTTGAACTTACAATTTAGGGCTGTAAAGGTAACACGATTTAGGTTCTTTTAATGTTTATTTACAAAAGGCTAAGCCACATAATTTATGATGCTCCAATACTAAAAGCAAAGTAACGAATTTATTCGAGAAAGTTTATTTTTATTACGCCGACTTCAAAAGAAAGCGAAATGGTTTGAATTAATTATTCAACTTCTCAAAACAAGCAAATGACCGGAGGTCGTTTGATCGGAAATGAGATTCAGGTGACGAAATATTTGTATTTATCCCAAAGTACGCACTTAAATAATAATACAAGTGAATATATTGTTTAATATACAAATCACAAAGAGCATAGAAACATGCCACAATCGTGGACTATATACTTATAACTTAAGTTAACACAATACTCAGTTGTTGCCAGATCGCTTACGGCTGTGTGTAGGTGTATTCAGGCTATGTCATTATTCAGTTCAACACAACAATTTTCATTTCAACCAAATTTAAGCAGGTAGATCAGAAGCGATCATGCGTAGACTGTAATATAAAAAAGGTAGGAATTATATGAAACTTAATAGGGTATGTTTTAGAAAGCATTGTTTTTCTTAGAAATATTTTCACCACTGGCGACCTTGGCCGAGCGGAAAGCTTGTGTCTGTGTTGGCGGGAGACTCATGTGTGAAATCCACAATGACAGATCCATTGCAAAGTCCATCATTATTTATAATTAGTTTAAGAGTCCACATCGCCTCGCCCTTTGAAGATGGTGGATGGGTGGTTCGTTCAGAATGACTGTTAATTGTTTTACGAATTTCCTGCCGAAGATTCCACCTGACTCGCCTTGTCCAGTTAGCTAATGAGACCCATCTCTCCCCCTCCCCAGGCGCCACCCCCCACCCTCCTGTTCATGTATTGTTGCATAGGGTTGCATGATATCGTGTCAAGCCCTGGGGGTAGGTGTGCCTTCACGGTCGGTTCGCGCCTGAATGCGTCCATGCCAGTTGAAACCATTCGCGGGGGGCACAAAACCTGAGGGTTATATATAACACACGTTGTAGGTACACATCAAGACGCCAAAGTCTTCGGGTAAACCTACCCGTAATGATGGACATTTACAGTGTTGTGTTGAACGCATCTCGGCACAGTAGCGCCGCACGGAGCGTTATACTAGGGCAGTACCCGTCGGCTTTATGCCTCTCTTTTATTACTTTGAAATTGAATAACCGTACGCTTTAATATAGTGGGGAGAAAAGTCTTTATGAATCTGGGGTTTCCATGGTTGAATGCCGCAATAATAGACTCGGGTGAAAATGAGGTACACGAGGCATTGCATATGCGACTAAAAACAAATCTATGTAGCCAGCATTTTGGTGATCCATGTAAGACGATATATAGTTTAGAAAGGCGGTTGTGCTTGATATATAACACTGCCTATGTTCGTTCCTTTGTATCGTTTTGAGACAAGCCACAAATAGGTCTGTATTCATATTGGGAGGACAGCCGGTGGAAGGTTTATTGCCATAGAAATGAAATACACAATAAAGACGCGACACAATTTCTGATTCATTGTCTAGTTTTGACACGTTGATATCAAATATCATTATGTCTAAATATGCTCTTAAGACGGCGGAAAAAGTGCATCCTTATATAAGTTTATAAACACACGCGTTAATAAAGTCTTTGCTGAAGATACGTCACAAAAAGTGCACAAACTCAGGATATGTTATAAGGATTGTATGCGGTCAAAGGAAAACAATACAATCTTTGTGTTTATCATTACATATAAACTGAGACTTGAAAGTCGTAATGATTACAGCTACTCAGATTGTATGATTGGTCAGATGCAGTTATTTCATTTGAAGATGTTAGGTTTGTGCATTTTCGTGAAGTTTAAATTACCTCTTATATGTGGATGAACAACGACTTTTTTAACAACATTTATTTATTTGGATTGTCTTTGAATTGCCTTCCTTTGGGGTAATAATTATTGTTTGTTCTGTTTGATTCTGTTCACTTTAATAAAATTAAATGTAGTTGAGAAATGAATCGTTAAAATCCATCATATGATTTTATTGTATGATATTCCCGACATAATCCGCAAATCAACACACAGTGTGTGTGTGTGTGTGTGTGTTTTTTCCCACAACGGCACTTAAGTTCATTTCATTTGAGATATAAGTAATACAAACTAGTTGCACAGTAAGCATATCTTTATACACCACAGTGTACATTACATTATGCCCCAAACCAATCCGTCCAACCAAGCTCGAGCAGAAAGAAGGAAATCCAGATTAAAGCACACGTGCTAATTTCGTTGCTAATAACACCACACTCATGCTGAACAGGTCGCCAATGTATAACATGCCTGATTACATAGACATATAGCAATAAAACAATAGAACACGCCCTATAGCCCAAGGGGGAACATTTCACCTGAATTATGCTATTACGTCACTGACGTTTTGGGATCGCCGAGCACTTATCCACCTCGCGGTATATACAACCGCAGGTGACAAAAGAACGAGTTAATGCTAATGGCTGTCTTTACCCTTTGCTTACATTGCACTTATCATTCAAGTGTCCGAATCGATTTGCGTTGTTAAAGATATAAAATTATTTTTATTACAGATTACAGATGTTTTGTTAGTAATTCTACGATGTTCCTGTACATGCATGTTAATTTGACCATGATCTTAAACTCCACATAATATGTTCAACCTTCGCTAAGATTAAAAGTTTCTGGAATGTCACCATTAACAGTTACATGATCTAACTATAATGAATACTGAAATTGAAGTTTTATTTTGTCATAAATTTTAAAGACCATTGTTTTTATGATGAAACTTAAATGCATTTAAAATTAAATGAAAGTTTTACAATAGCTATATCAACGTCTTCGCGGTATATTTTATATATGATGAAGTAATGCTGCGGGTTATGACGCGGACAGTGGCGTAGGTTGTCACGGCCGAGGAACAGAACATTGCATTGATTTATAGCCTTTTAATTATCTAGCGTGTAACGTCGAAATTCCTCCTATTTCATATTTCTGACGTACCTGTGTGAATCAAAGGTGACCTGACATTTCTACCTGTCCGATACTAGTATATATTGTTACTTGGAAGTTTTTTATTGTGTGAAATTAAAGTACAAAACACATGATATTTGTAACGACACAGCCATACTATGCATATACACATTTCACAAGTTTAGGTATATACCGTATTATCATATAATATTGTATTACTGAAGCTGAATGAACAGACTGCCTTGAAAATACGTACAACAATGTGATTTGTATGCAATAAGTATTAATTTATCTGTTTATATATCATAAATACATCTATACATATCATAAATATATTATATAAACAGCTGGGCTAAAGAAGGTATACACTTGTAAATCGGATTTAACAAAATATTACAAGAGTTATCAAAGCGTTACAAGGTTGATCTATTGTCAAATGCTTGTTGATTGGATATATGTAACTCCAACTCTAGCACCCTTTTAAAATTCATCACCATCGAATAACCATATATTACTGTTTCGTTTATAGTCAC